ACATGGCCGAACTATGTCACACGCTTACACGATATCTTAGAGTTCGCAATGACCGTAGTCGGTCAAAAACCCCGCGTAGAAGTGTCTCACGTAGGCGATCTGGCTCTCGAGAGACAGACAATCCCGACTGGTGCTGGTATCATAACCAGTACGGTAAGTTTTCCAGAAACTGCAGGAAACCTTGTAATTATCCGACCCCAAAATCGAGTGACACGAAAAACAGTTCGGGAAACTTCCCAGCCGGCACGCGTTAACGGCAACCGTAGCCGGCGAACACAGCCGCCTCTTATATGTCACGGATGTGACCACGAAAGTTCGCTACCTCGTCGACACTGGCGCAGAAGTTAGCGTTCTTCCAGCAAATCCCGACGACAGACTTCGCGAGTCTGTTTTAAGTTTACAGGCGGCAAACGGAAAGCCGATCGCTACTTACGCTAAAAGGTACGTCTACCTTAACGTGGGTTTACGCAAACCCATACAACGGATTTTCGTGGTTGCAGATGTCTCTATGCCAATCATTGGTATAGACCTGTTACAACACCACAATCTACTCATCGACACACGCTCACGAAAGTTAATAGACGGAAACACTAAGTTATCTGTTAGCGTAACTCCTTGTTCTGGTTGCAGGTTATCCCCAGTCACGATTGAGCACACCATAAACCCCTTGTACCAATCAGTACTCGACAAATACCCCGGGATATACCAATCGCAATCGAAATTGCCTTGTGTAACCAGCAATGTTACACATCACATCACGACTACAGGACCACCTGTATTTTCGAAAGCTCGAAGACTCGCTCCCGAGAAGCTTAAGTTAGCTAAAAACGAATTCGACCACATGATGGACCTAGGGATAATTCGACCATCGAATAGTCCATGGGCATCCCCATTGCACATGGTCCCTAAAAAGGACAGCACTGATTGGCGGCCAACTGGTGATTATCGGCGTCTGAATGCTAAAACCATACCCGATCGTTACCCGCTGCCTCATATTCACGATTTGACAGCTACCTTGAAAGGTACAACTGTCTTTTCGAAAATCGACTTGGGTAAAGCTTATAACCAAATCCCGATGGCACCTGACGACATTCCTAAAACCGCCATCATCACTCCCTTCGGTCTTTACGAATTTCTACGAATGCCTTTTGGTTTAAGAAACGCGGCTCAAACCTTCCAAAGGTTTATAGACGACGTCTTCCGAGGTCTCAACTCCGTACATGCGTATGTTGATGACTGTCTAATAGCAAGTCCGGACAGAGAATCGCATCTCAAGCATCTGGACATTGTTTTCGATCGACTCCAAAGGCATGGCATTACTGTTAACATACAGGAATGCCAAATCGGAACAAAGTCCTTAGACTTCCTAGGACACACCATTGATGCCCAAGGCATCCGACCCCTTAGGAGCAAAGTGGCGGCCATTCTGGATTACCCAGAACCGACCACGATCAAGCACTTACGAACTTTCAACGGACTCGTAAGTTTCTATAGACGGTTCATACCTAAATGCGCATCCCTAATGAAACCGTTAACCGATCAGCTTCGTGGAAATGCGAAATCAATTAGTTTAGACGACATAGCCCGTAAAGCATTTCCCACAGTTAAGGAACACATCGCTAAACCAACCTTGCTTGCTCATCAGGACACTCAAGCGCCCATTAGTATCGCCGTAGACGCATCCGACTCAGCAATCGGAGCAGTCTTACAACAATGGGTTAACAACTCGTGGCAACCTTTAGGATTTTTTTCGAGACGGTTGCTAGACGCTGAATCTAGGTACAGCACGTTCGGTAGGGAACTCCTAGCTATGTATTGTGCTGTACGGCATTTCCAACATTCCATCGAAGGAAGAGAATTCACGCTTTTTACCGATCACAAACCTCTTACCTTCTCTTTAAATTCATCTTCAGACAAGTACTCACCGCGAGAGTCTCGACAACTCGACTACATTTCGCAGTTTACTTCAGACATACAACACATTTCTGGAGCAAAGAATGTAGTCGCAGACGCCTTGTCTCGAATAAGTTCCTTGAACAGTTTCCAAGGAATCGACCTTCTTAAACTCGCTCAGCTTCAAAAAGAAGACATTGATCTTCAGCATGAGTTATCCTCGACAACTTTTAAACTAAGTATTAGGCAGATGGGAACAGGTAAGGAAACCTTACTCTGTGACACATCTACAGGTAGGGATCGTCCAATAGTACCAAAACATTATCGCCGCAGCGTCTTCAATACGTTGCACAATCTTTCTCATCCAGGTGCTCGTGCAACAATCGAACTTATAGCCGAACGCTTTTGTTGGCCTGGCATGAATAAAGACGTGAGAGAGTGGGCACGCTCCTGTGTAAGCTGTCAGAAATCTAAGGTAATCAGACACAACAAATGTCCCTTAGTTTCTTTCAAAACCCCTGACGCTCGTTTCGACCACGTCCATCTAGATTTGGTAGGACCCTTACCCGACTCGAACGGATACTCATATCTCCTAACATGCGTAGACCGTTTCACTCGATGGCCAGAAGCAGTACCGATTAAGGACATTACTGCTGAAACCGTGGCCCGCGCTTTCGTCGAACGATGGGTAGCAAATTTCGGCTGCCCTTCCACAATCACTACAGACCGCGGACGCCAGTTCGAATCTGGACTGTTCCGTTGTCTGACCACACTTTTAGGAATCACGCGTTTCCGAACGACCGCCTACCACCCACAAGCAAACGGGTTGGTAGAACGTTTTCATCGACAATTAAAAGCTTCATTATCAGCTTCAAACGTTTCACAGTGGACAGACGCTCTTCCACTCGTCTTGCTAGGTATCCGCAATGCAGTGAAAGCTGACATTGGATACATGGCATCTCAACTCGTTTACGGAACGACACTTCGACTCCCAGGAGAATTCGTAGATCCTTCAGCTTCTTCATTGAACATGGATCTAAACTCTTACACAAGTAGGCTTACAAACGCTATGCGTTCAGTTAAACCTGCTCACACTCGACCTCAATCAACTGATGTTTTCGTTCAACCCGAATTACGACATAGTACACACGTCTTCGTTCGTCGAGACTCACATCGACGACCCCTCGAATCAGCATACGAAGGACCCTTCAAAGTTCTTCAACGCGAACCTAAGTACTATTTAGTCGATAAGAACGGTACGAAAGATAGCATCAGTATCGATCGACTCAAAGCTGCGTACCTAGAAGGAAACCCTAGCTACGTCGATTTTCCTTCGGTACAAGCAAACGACACAGCTACTACACTCGTAGTACCCTACACGACAACCGACACACAACTTGATACTTCGTCAACGTCGATAAATAAACCTAAAACAACGCGTTCTGGAAGACGAGTAAGGTTTCCAGAACATCTTAACGAATATTGCACGTAGGACATAAGCTTTATCTTGAATTACCTTTTCATAGTTTATTATTTTTATTTTATATAAAAAAACAAGAAAAAACATTTTTATTTTTTTTTAGCGTATATATATATATTTTTTATATATAAAAAAAACAAAAAACACTTTTTTTCCTGATCGCTTTTACGCTGTTGGCAAGTGTATTAGTTTTTTTTTTCCCGCTCATCTTGTGTCCCTACGCAAGTACGAGTGTATTTTCCGACATGCACTCACACGTTTTATTTTCTCTCTTTTCCAGGACGGCTGGAAAAGAACGACGAAGTTTCGCAAGGAACCGAAATTTTCATTGTACTATATTTCTTTATTGCTATGTTGTACATTTTGGTCCCATAGTTTAAGGAAAGACGACCAGACGCTGCTAAACGAAGCAAGCTATCAGAAGAGTGTTTACCAACGACAAACTCGTTGGGTTTAAACTTCTGGCTGGTCACGTCTTAGGGGCATCACTACCTCACTAGGGGGGAGTGATCTGTAGCTGTAAATAATTCCCCAAAATCAATAGCTCATTAAGTGTTCGACATTGGATGCTGACCACGTTGTTTAAGTGGACTTGTTTAGCTGAAGGCTTTCGGTCATGCATCCGCACCAGATCACGTTTCAACTCGGCGTGGGACACAGCTCCTACGTTTCATTAGCCAGCTCATAGAAAAGGTCCTCGATATATTGGTAACGAATCAAATATATCTTTCCTGCCTCTTCTCGTCTGACTTCTGATTTCTATCTGACTGGGAACGATCGAACATAGAAGGTGCTACTGGTAACTAGTTGTAAAATTAGAACATCCGTTGCATCATCAATGTAAATGAATTAACAACTGTAGTTAAGTCATCCATCCTACTCTTCGATGATGACATAAAGATTTGGAGACTCATATACAGCATTTCATATAGAATAGTATTACGTGATGATTTCGACTCATTAGTGGCATGGATGGACGGGTGATTTATAGAAATGAATCCTAACAAGAGTGTGGTGATGCAACTAAATAATTACGATGATTTGTATTACTACCCAAAATAAAAAAACTATAAAGATTTAGCAGTCATGCTAAGCAATGATCTCAAAACAACCAGCAACTGTAAGGCTGCTGCTGCGAAAGGCTATAGGATATTATGATCTATTCGTAGATCTTTCCAGTATTTGGATGAGGAAATGTTTAGATTATTATACCCCACTTCCATGCGGACACATTTAGAATATGGGATTCAAGCAGCGAGTCCTTGTTTTAAATATGAGGCGGATATGCTGGAACGAGTCCGACGCCGAGGAACTAAATTGGTAAAAGGTCTATCTGTCCTATTTTATGAAGAAAGACCGAGACATCTCAACTTATTTCCGTCATCTTACCGTAGAATACAGGGGGATCTAAAATTGCCTTATCGTATCCTGAACGATGACCCCAGTTAAAATGTGCCTTATCTTTTCCATCCGTCTGAGACTAATCATTTGAGAGGACATTCGAAGAAAGTCCAAAAACCGAGATCAAATCGTCTACGTCTCGAGTTTTGTTTCTCGCACCGAGTGGTGAATTACTGGAATTCTTTACCAGAACACGTAACATCAGCCCCTGTTAATACATTCAAAACGAGATTGGACCTCCACAGTGTAGCAAATCTGCAAGGATTAATACAGGTCAATAGACCTTCAATCCTTATTACTGAAAACTGAAGACCTTGAAGTCATTTTTTCTCTGTTTCATTAACAGTCATTCGAGCCCGTGCAATAGTAAGCAGTTTTCAAAACTTTCAAGGTTGCCTATTTGTCAACGAATGTCTAGCCATTCTTAACACCTACAAAACCTCCGGAGCTTTACTTTAAGTTAACTTAAAAGTAAACCATGATGTAAAAAAGTTTTCTCCTCAGTTATATCATGTATTAAAAAGCTATTTTTCGATCCAACTAAACAAGATTTGTGAAATAAAAGTGAACTGTGGGAAAATACAGGCAACATTAGCCAAAATAATTAACGTTAATTGGAGGACATTTCAAATAAAAGTCAACTTTCTCACCTACATTGGGAAAATAGTGAGACATCCCGCCTACATGTCTCTCATAAGGCAAAAATTTTGTAAATTCACAAATTCCCAATCTACCGATTTTGGGGTTTTCTCCAAAGTCCAATAACAGTTAGCAGTTTTCTCCAATGCTAAGGGTAAATCCTGTGGATTTTCGCCGTTTCCCCAAGATTTTCAATCGCAACTTCCTTAAAGTTTCTCCGAAATAGGGAGATTGAATTAATGGCAGCTTCAGTTTGAAAATGACAGTAAGCTAGGTTGCCTGTTAGTTCTGGTAACGGTGAACCCTCAGTTGGTCTTATTTTTTATTTAAAACGTTGATAGATGCACCTTCAACCTCATGTTGTGGTAGTGAAGTCATTAATCAGCTGAAAAGTAATTTGTTCTGGGCTTGTAAACTTTTTACAGTGTCCTAGTAAATTCTCTGTTGTGAAAGACGAAAAAAAGAGGGATCATCAGATGCTAATCTATCACTAAGTAATTTGAAAACCGCTCTGAAGCCACCTCTAGTTGTTCGATATGACGATGGGAATAGGTTTATTTTAGCCAGTCTACCATCATTCACGAGCCTTGCCGTCCCGCGAGTTAGCCTTCTTGAGATTCTTTAAACTCTGTATAACCACTCCGTTTTTTAGACGGGATAGCCTCTTCTCTGTAGTACTCAAATTTAGGACGCATGATTATTGTATACAAAGTCGAAAACGTTTTAGCATTAACATGGCTGAAGGTTTTACGTATTGACCATAGGGTTCTAAAACCTTTGGTGGCTATCTCACGGTGGTGTGCAGTTGTCTCCAGGTCTTGTTTAACGATAACTACAAAGTCATTGTGTGTCTGGACAACAGGTAGCTCAATGTTATTCACCGTGTATGTATCTGTACCTTGGTGACCAATATGCATCATAATGCACCTCGAAGCGTTTATCGACAGTTACCAAATTCTAGACCACTCAGGTAATTTCTCCAGGTTACTTTGATGCTCTTAACTATCACATTTCCTTTTTTTATCGCTCTCCATATCTTAACATCGTCACCATATAACTAAACCGATGATGATAGGAGACCGGGAAAGTCATTTACGTGCAGGAGAAACAGCGCTGCTCACCCTGCTTCGGTTTGGGCGCCTGGACAGTATAACAGCTCACACACAAATCAAGTGACTTATGTGGCGCATATTCGGTGCCATTTTGTACCAATATTTACGTGTTCAAATAAATCAATAAACACTGACCTCAAAACTGTACCCTGAGGCACTTCGCTAAGCACAATTTCCAAGCTAGACAACTTGGAGTTCATCCGTACTCTTTATTGACGCCCAACCAGGAAGTCCTTTATCTATAACAATAAATTGACTCCAATCTCAATATACGTAACTTAAATAACAGCCGGATGTAAGAAATTTTGTCAAAGGCTTTACTGAAGTTAATATAGGCTACATCTATAGGCAACGTGTGATCTTTGAGAGCTCACCAACGTCCACAGGCTACTAATAAGTTTTTGAGACATGATTGACTTGTTCTAAAGCCATGCCACTCTTTAGAAGGAATCCAGTTTTCGTTTAGATACTTGAGCGACTCCCAAATAATTCTAAAATTTTAATCACTAAGTTTAAGCTTATTGGTTGGTAGTTCTCAGATTTGTTTGCTTTTCGCCTAAATACACTCTAAGTTCTCTACTTTTAGCTTACATTTATAACAAATTGTCTACTGTTCACCTAAATTCACACCAGTTATCTATTCGTTGCACGAATTTACTCCAAGTATCACCTACACTTACGATATGCATTTCATTTGTCGCCTGGATATCCCTAAAACTTTACTTTCTCATGAAAGTGGATATTAATGCAAATGCTATTTGATTCTGAACACGAAATTTATTTTGATCATTAATATTTAACAAAAGTAACTTAGGCATCAAAATTCCAATGATAGTGATACGCCTTCGTACTAACTGAAATGTTCTATTGTCATCCTTTGGCGTCTGAAAAAGAACGTATCAGTTTATGAACAGTTTTAATATGGCAGATGAAAGTGATAAAGTTGTACATTGCAAAGTTAATTTTCTAAAAGGAGCATAGTAGACAATACGTTCAGGGCTTTGTTAAACAGTACTCCATCAATCGATTATATTCTGAATTGTCACAAACAAATACAGTTATAAGGAAGTTCAATCCAAATTACTTAGTGATCATAGATTATAAAATGAAGCTGAACTCACAGTAATGTTGCATAAAATTTACTGTCTTGCCTAGGAAATGAAAAACAAAAGGTTATAACCTGAAATTATCTTTTCTCTAATAAAGCCTGTCAAATTTATCTCTGATATCACGTTTGAAACCTTGTGTTGTTCCGTCTAAAAGTTTCGTAGGGTCTTCTCAACTCATAAGGGATAATGTGAATTTCGATGTTAGGGCACCTGTAGAATAATAATCAAAAGTCTGGGCGATACTTGGAGTTGGTGTAAACTCATGTGAAAAGTAGACAATGTGTTATGGATGTAAATTAAGGGTAGAGAATTCGACGGTCACTAGGATGTAAATTTACAGACTTTTTGCCTTATGGGAAACACTTATGCGAAATGTCTCACTATTCCCCCAATGTAGGTGAGAAAGGTAACTTTTAATGGAAAAGTCCTCCAATTAACATCAATTATTCTGGCTAATCTTGCCTATATTTTACCACAGTTCACTTTTATTTTATAAATCTTTATTTGGATTCTGTAATTTCTGTCTCATTAGGGCACTTTATCTGTTGTTCTTGCCTTTATTCTTGCACTTATTCTCCTAGACATACCTCTATGGTGGACTTAAAACTGACGGTCACATTTGTAAAAGGCTTGGTCTACTCGTTAGAGTGGAACTTTAAGCTCCAAACTTGAGATGTCTCAAACGGTCTAACTGGACATCGGTTCATGATGGTTCTGTTCTGTTTTTATTATCCCCAAACTGTTTACTTTTGGACGAAAGATCAGATACTACAACCACTGTGTAAATACCTATCAACATTAATAGATCTTTCCTCTTGCACCTTTGTAACAGTAGTGAAATTACATAAAAAGGGAGACGGCTGAATGTGTTTCGTTTGTCCCTTGCCTGTAGCTTCTTTGTAATCTTGTCAGTTGGCGTACTTGCCTGTCTCATTGCCTTCTGGTTTCCTGTGGTATGATGTGATACGTACTGCAGTAGATAAAAATAAAAGTTTTAAATAAAATATGATTGGGAATTTTATTTTTGATGACTTGTAAGTCATTCATAATCAATGCGGTACAAATCTGCGGTCAACCCACGTAGACACACTATAGCGACAGAATAAAACCAAAATTAAGAACAGGACTGAACATTAACTGCCCAGTACTCACTTTCTCGTCTTCAAATCACTAAGCTAAGTGTAAAACTTCTGATACTTTCATAACCAGAAGTCATTAATTTATACCATTTGTAGGTTCTATCAGTGTCTGTACTTCAGTGTCTCGTTATTCTTCTTCCAGTGGCACTACATCAGTTTGTTATACCTTCCAGTCATCTCATTACTTTTAGTATTTTAATCGCTGCTGTTTTTAGCTAGTGAAACTGTGAGTTGATAAATATTTGAATCTAAACGTCTTATGCTATACAACAACACTTCCTATTACGTTTGGTCTAGGTTTTGGTTGTTCACACTCATTAAAGGACTTCACATCCGTCTGAACATGTCAAGACACACTCATTACGTCTCTGCGGCGACTATAGGCCCCTATATTTTTTCAAAAATTTTGCTACCTATGTTCACAGTTTAATTTAATGCTTGCTTCTTTGCAGGTATATAAGTACTCTTTGTCGGTATACGTTAAAAGTGCATTTCGTAAAGTTATGGCTTTGGATCTTTCAAGTGTGAATGACACTTCTTTCGAAGAAACTGGCTCAAATACAACCTATAATTGCGTTTTCCTATCCTCAGAAGTTATTTCTTTTCCTGGGACTAATAATATTCTCTTTTATATATCTGAAATAGGTAGGTGTTTGCAGCCTATTTTAACCTTCATTAAATGGCTGTTTTAGTTAGATGTGTGGTGATGGAACCTTATTAAATAGAATGCAGCATAAATTGATGTTACTTTGCCTCCTACTATACTATAAGCCTCATAATTGACTATTTGACCACGATTAAGTGAAGATAGATCTGAGTGTTCTGCAAACTGATAGGGGCATAGATATGTAAGGACAATAGTTTCCTATGTACATATTGTTTGACTGAATATCATAGTCGCTAAATAAAAATATAGCCATATAGAATTGTTAAAGAACAATCAACTTAGGATTTTAAATTTTCGTGTATAGTATTCTGTTATGATCTCAATTCAAACTTCCATCAAATAATAATTGCTATTAATGTATTTATCAATGTTCATTATAGAGTAAGCTTGTGTACCAGTATCTTTGTAAGTAAACTGCACTCCCTCATTATAGGTTAACTTTATTTTAATTCATGAAAATGGAACCAAAGACACTCAGAAAAGTAAAACAACAGTTTGCGAAAGTAATGGAGCAACATCTTATTACCAAGATGTGTTTAGACTGATGACTCCTTTTCAGCCACAGATTCTTGTCATTCTTATATTTTTATGTTGCGAAGTACGTTTCAGACTGAGCGTCTAGGGCCAATTTGTTATTAACGTGAAATCTGAAACATACAGGGTGTATAAACATCCATGATGCGTTCGGCTTGTTGGTTAAAGATGGTTGTACTAACGTAGCTGTGATCATGATGTTCAATTACGTTACTGTAATATATCCATAAGTGTAATGGGTTTTTAGACTCTTACCAAATACACTTAAGCTTTTAAGATTTGGTAACTTTCAGTCAAATTTTACTCCAATAACTATCAAATACACTTTTTAAGGCTCAGCACAACAATTGTTTTACTCCACATTAATAGTGCACTCACTGTAGCATATTTGTCAAATAATTTTGTCGATTTCATGGTTTGAATGTTTTTCTTTGGAAAGTCTGTAATAGTTCTTGGTTGGGTTATTTGTACTGCTCAAAAGGTTGATTTTCTTGTGGTGGATACGACACGACAACTCCTTGAACAGTAATAGTGACTGCTTTTTTTGTGATTTCTGTAGAGTACCAATATGTTTTTCCTCTAGAATTTGGTAGGAAAAAACGATCCTATCATCTGTGTGGTACTGTCTTTATGTACCTAGCTTCATAAGAGCAGATAAACAAATATATGCACATCGAATCAGTTTTGATAGTCTGTCTTTTATGAATATATCCACTAATAAACATGTCGTGTAAGATATTCCCAGCGGAGCTGTGTAGAATATTTTTCATGGTAACCTAACCATACGAATTAACTTTTTCATTCATGCCATCGATATTTATATATTGTCCTGATAACCCCTGAATCGCTTTATATTTCTATAAACCATAGAGAGTAGCGATTTCCCACAAAACTAGCTCTAGTGTGCTGATGTTCCTTTTCTATCCTGCTTTCTATAAAGTAAAAATGAATCAACTTCTACTGTTAGTCATCCATGAGTTCCATATGTGTTTTCTTTGAATACACTCCAATCATAACCCCAAAGTTTTTCTCTGAAGATATAATGTCTAATACGGACTACACTATAAAAATTCCACTTATTATTCGCATGTGTCCTGAGAAACAAAATTATTCTTTATATTATTTTATATTAACACAACTTTATGGTTTTCAATGATGAACTCACTCAAACAAATGTTTTGTTTTAGGGCCATAAATTCAATAAATACATATTATTTGACCGATTCCATCGAATCTGCATTCAATTATTTTTTACTATATAACAATTTTAACCACGTAGGTCATTTAATTTTGGCAAACTTCTTCGTTGAACATTCCAATGGAAGTTACATACTTAAAAAACTTCCACATATCAAATTTCCACATGATTCATCCGATTTACCAACAAATCTATCTTTGGATAAAAGTCTCCCAGCTCAAGAAAATGTGATATCACAACTTTCAGTAAATGATTGTTCAAATGTATTGGATTTAAACTTTCCTAGTAAATTTGGACGTATTGAGACAGATATACAGTCTTCAGCTATAGATTGCACAAATGTTTGTCATGTTCAAACATGTTTACAACAGACACCAGTTAGTTCATCATCTTTGAACGTACCAGATTTAGAAAATCCAGCTAATTCTACCATTCCCCGTCCACAATGTGAAAACAGTTCAGTTAATATGAATAAAAGTAAAAATTCTTCGTCTCGCATTTCACGATCAAAATTTTTAGGACAAATCGGTAACTAACGTTATCTCTTTCATACAAAACTGTTTGTTATGGGTTGGTTTTTTTATTTATTTCATGTTTTGTTCAGTCGGTTATTACCTTGAAAATTGATTTGTTTTATTACCTAACTTTCAAGATTCATTCTTTGGCAGTTGCTAGTAAATTCTGTTAAGTAACCGATATTGATGAAGATATCAGTGCCTTAGAAACATTGATTCAATCTTAATAGCTAACTTTAAAAAAATAAGTTTATTTCGTTTCTATGGTTATTAATTAAGTCCATTTTCTTGCTTACACGATAATTTATAATGAGTTTTTAATCCAATCCAACTCGTAACTGTAATGAAGCATAGTGATCACGATACAAACTACTCAAAGCACTCCCACATTTTCGACTAAATGAATAAAGTTTGCATGTTACAAGGATCCTGCAATATGTCCAATTCCAAGTAGCGATAGTGAAATCTTTACAAAAATATATAGATTTCAGTCGTTTTAACTCTTTAAAACTGCTTTATAATTTCATATGGATAGTCGTCAATTGTTTGAACGTAATGTTTCGCAAAAGTTGTGAACCGAACACATAGAAGATATTATATGTAAACATTTTATTTAAAATAATCTCAGTGGTTGAAATTTAAGTCGTTTTAACATTTCACATAGCAAGCTTGTCTGGACATCTTCAGATTAATCATCATAATTATAATACAATTTATCCAGTTTAAAAACAAGTCTATATTGAGAGCTTATCCAATCATATTTAGATGTTAATTTTTATATAGTAAGATTATAAGAATCATCAGATTGGAAAAATCCTCACAATATGAAAAGGAATGACTGTGTATTTGTGTGCGCTTTCATGTCATTAAGAATTAGAATTTTTTAGTGAATAAACGAAGTCTCTGGCCACTACTAAGGGCATATGTGTGATCAGATTGATCAAAATGTATTGCGCAAATATACCACATAGTTCTTATAAACTTCGCCTTTTCATTGCATTATCGGAATTTATTAAGGTGACTAATTGTTTTGAATATCAGTTATTTGTTAACTTATCAGTTACCAAAGCATAGCTAATTGTATTCAATCTTACCTCTTCAGGCTGTTCTGATTAGCCCATCTTCGTTGTTTGGTTTCACCAGCTAAGTTTGCCAATTAGAATTGTAATTATAGCTTTCCTACTCCACGCCTGATAATTTGTCTGTAGACCAGCGACCTTACCGACACAATCAACCTTGAGCTAACGTGAGCTTCTCTCCTATTGGTCCGCCTACACATACACACACCTCTATCCCAGTCTGGGGTTCAGAAAAGAAGTTCGCAGCCAAGCTTCTATCGTCATATTTCTACGATCTAGTCCAATGGGGATCTCAAACACTCATTGGTTTATACAAATAACAACGTCGACTAGGTCGCACCATAAAATAAAAGACCATAACTATACACAAACAAACCAAAAGTGGCTGTGAACCGGGAAAACTAAATAATTGATTAGCAATAATCTAGGATTAAATAAAACGTTAGATGATGGTTAGTGGATCAGATGGAAGCGTATAATATATGGAATATAAGGTCCAATTATTGAGTGATTTAAAACAATAATATTGCAGAAAATAGTTCCCAAAGTTCTGAATTTTTCAGTACTCGTTCCATTATAACATTATATGGGCCTAAACAGAAAAGACGGTATAGAATCAGCTACGCTTTGGTAACTGCTAAATTAACAAATAACTAGACCTTACTATTATTATCCATCCTGTTTATAATATTCGTACCTTGTTTCCGACAGAGAAATTATTCTTTAAGTTTATTATCAAAACTATTTGTTTAACTCTTCTCATTCTACACGCACTTGGACGACCTAAAGTTTTCGTTTATACTATTTTTTTAATATATAAGATGACTGATGTCCTGAGTTGCCGACAAGCTTGCTGGGTAGAACGCTGGGATTACTCCAATTTTAGTCACATAATTTTTCAACATAAGTTTTACATATAATATTTTTTCCTCTATGAAAAGGTGTTGTTTATCACTTAGCTGCGTAGTCTATGATCTGTAATTAAAATGACAACTGTAATTTTCTGTCTATTGGATGAGTAGCGTTACTAAAATATTATTACTTTTACAGTTGATATTATTCTTTCCTATTGATAGGAGGTCAAGTTTACAGTAATGCTCACGACTTCAGTTACTATGTTTGCTAATTGTACATCAGCATAAAATTGTGGTTGTGGCCACTTCTTGGTTAGACTTGTTTGACAACAGATTCCAGAAATTCTGTTCTGTAAATCAACTACTGGAAAAGTTGACAGATAACTCAAGTTATTCAATATGACATTTTTGTGCATTCCTATAAAAGGAAAAACTGCGATAAAATCACTGTTAGGAAGAAACTCAACCAACATAAAACTGGACAGGCTAACAATTTACTTAATCCTAACATTTGTATAATCTATTCAACCTACATGTGCATCGTGACAAATATTCATTTAGATATCTCATTTTTATACCTCGTGGGATCTCTTGTCTTTTTGTAGTTTGTGAACTCCTGCACAAAATGAAGAGTCGTATGACGTCATCGGAGAATCAAGAAATCATCATTCAAGGACATAATTTAACTGAACTGGAACATTTTGTTAAACACTTGCGAGAGTTTCGTCTACGTTTAGGTCTTTCACAAGTTCAACTAGGTATAGAAATTTCAAAACATTTTAACGATAAAGCCTTATGTAGTCAAACTCTTCTGTCAAGGTGAGATTGTTTTTTGAGAATGAAAATATTCCGAAAAAATAGTAATGTCTAGTTGTTTTTATTCTATTCCTATACAACTTTCTCATATTTTATTCCGGATTTAATGTTAAGTGTTTTTTAACAGTTGTTGAGACTGTAGGTGTTATAAAAAATATGGAAATGTATCTAATCTCTTATGCCTGAGACTAGTTTTATTGGTACTTTTGTTATTCTACATCTCGTTCCGTCTTAATCTGCTATTTTGTTATATTTTGCGCGATTTTCTTGCCGACAGCTTTATCACTTTTTTATTTTCACTACTCTTTGTTTTATTGATTTTGTTTGTTTGTATTATCTTCAAGCAAAAATAGTTATTAGGATCTCATCGTGTCTTCATGTCTATGTTATTTTCCATCCATTTATTGTACCATCTTTTTCACAAGCTGGACATAAATACTTTCATTGCTTCTTTGGTATTCAAAATCTTGATTTCTTAGTGGACACTACTGAGTATATTCTCTATTTAAACACGTCAATATATGTTCAACACCATAGATCATTGGATTGCATTTTACCATCGGAAACTTATTTGCTAACTTATGAAAGAATTTAGCACATGCAGCCACATTAGTTCACACTTATCACTGTTTTCGCATCAGCCATAACACTCTTAAACGCCATCCAACGTGTATAACAAAGACTATATCATTTTGTTAGACCTCTTCGTCAACTTGGGTTACTTATTCCTCTGAAGATAGGTGTCAAATTTCCAATCGAGGTTCTACAAAACAACTTAAAAGGAATAAGAATAGCATATTTTTGCATGACTGAGATGTTACCAACTCAGGATTTCAAGGGAATGTTATTTGTCCTAAAGAAATATTCACAACTTCTATATTCACTGTAATACTGTAGCTCTGAAGAAGATTGTCAATAATTTTTCAACAACGTCATTATAGTTTTATCGTAATGCACTTTTTTGTATATTAATCACATTTTCATTTCATACTATTAGATTTCTTCCTCTTATCTAATTATCATTGGTCCCTAACCGAATGTTTGTGGATTTTTCCTCCATACTTTTGAATATTTGTCAACTAATGGGCAATCATAAAAATAAGTTTGTTGAAAAAAGAATTATCTCTATATATCAGTGTTTTCTTGAGTATTGATTAACTTCATTCATTCACTCAACCACATAAATAGTCAGTTATCTGATAGTCTTAATACATTGACTTGTATTGAATGCAGTAATGCAACATGTAGAGAGATGATCTAGTAGTCGAATCACTTACCATTCGATCAGTTGGTTTTAGGTTCGAATCCTACTCCATCTACCGCTGTTTAGGCAGTCAGGTAGTATCACTAGTCGTCACATAAATAGTGTGATTCAAAGTGAAATTCATAAACCAAGAAATGGTACATAAGTTACATCAGCCACACGACATAAAGATCGCTGTTTTAATTCAAGTTGTATACTGTTGAAAATAATTAACTTCTTCGAGTACATTCACAATTAAATAAAATCAAACAAGCTTTTATGAGGATTTATGTCTTAATAAATTTTACTGGTAATTTTTTTATCAGGTTTGAGAAGTTAAATGTCACTGTTAGATCTGCTTATCGGCTTTTGCCCTATCTAAAACGTTGGATTTCACATGCTGAACAAAATCATTGTGGTCAAATCACCATTGAAAAATTGCCCGTTTTTCATCGTTCGATTCCTGTACGTGCTGTAGGCAACTCCCGGTTAACTACATTGGCTCGCTTAGGACGTACCATTTATAATTCTTCATCCTCCTCTTCTTCAACTTCACCTGTTTTAGCTCTTGTAAATAAACAGGTAATTGTCTCTTTTATTTATTTACCATTGTGATATCTTTTAATTGTTGCATGTTTATTTGCATTTTTGTATATATACGAAAAAAATTACAAAAAGTGCGCAGAAAATCAGTCTTTCTTGTTACCTAGAACATCCATTAGTCCAAAATTTATTCCTAAACATTTTCTTTACTCGTTTCGTAGCTTATTGTAATCTTAGGGTTAATACTATTCCTATTTAAATCGAAGTAACTCCATATCACTGATCTTGTGGAAATAAAATCAAACTATCATGAGATAGATAGAGAGATAGCAGTTAATTCATTGATTTTGCTTAAGACTATAGCTTACTATAATTCCTACTAAAATTGTTTCGATGTGCTTACGAAAATGTATGTGAACATACTTTAGTAGAAGTGCTTTCATCTTGTATTGGAAATAATGAGAGACTAGGACATTTATAAATAAATTTTTTAATTTTTCTTACAAATAATCCTTTTCATTTCTAGATAGTGAAAAAATATCAACCACTCTCAAAATGCTTATTCTAAAAGACGTTAGTGCAGTGTACAGGTAACGATAGAAAACTAGTTTAATTTATAAAACTAATGACAATGGAATTTTACAATTTCTAACATCTAGACGACTTGCTAACGTGGTCATTAAGTATGATTGGTTCTGGTCTATCTATTAATTGATACTTTAAATTAAGAATACATATGCATTTTTTCAGCGTATTTATTTTCTGAGATTGTCTTGATAAAATAAATAACTTTACACACCATAGGACTTGAAACAACTCAACTATTTTTGTCCATACATCTTAACCACTACCGTAATATTTGAATGTAGCTAATTAATTTTACCCCATCTACGAGCAGATTATTTTATTTGTAACTTATTCAGTCACTCTAAGAAAATTTAATCCTACAGATTAAAGTTTTAGTGTTTTTTGAATTTTGAGCTGGCGTTTGGTAATGATATGGATGTGTGATATTTTGTTACAGGATATCGCTAGCTAGACTTATAAAACAAAGTAAGTCATCAGTTGACAGCAACACACACACACCATGATTTCTTCCGATAGGAGAAATCCCTAATAGTTAGTTTAACAAAAAAGCTACTTCTTCCTACATTAAGCCATTGAACTATCATTAAGCTCATTTTTGGTAAGTGCGTGTATTACATTATAGATACTTCGTTTATCTGCTTGAAAAGTCTCGTTCTCAGTTCCATTATTACATAGAGTGCCTCATAACATAATTTAATGACAGCTCTAGGGAAACTAAGAAAACACTTAAATATATCTTAAGTATATCTGTATAGAATAGAAGGAATGTGGCTAGGAATGGGATCCAGGATGCGCGTTTCCTCTTATTTGGTGCTCGTCAGCTGGATGTACTCGCATCCCAGAGTTTATGTTCACTCCGGAACTCAAACCCAGTACATTTCACTTCAGAAGCTATTGCTCTGTCCACTTAGCTACTGATTCAGGATAGTCACTCACTTGTGCAACATACGGCTGACGAGTCCTGAATGGGATGGAACGTACGCCTCGGATTTCACTGCTAAGCACATTCTTCTTATCCTATGCTAACTTGTGTCATAATGACTGCCTGGAGAACGACTTCTCGACCTCGAGTATGCGGATGATATTGTCTTACTGTGTGATAATGCTCAAGCCATGCAATTCGCACTTAATCAGTTGGCAATCAGTGTCCGCAGGTACGGCATGTGCTTTGCACCCTCCAAGTGCAAAGTACTCCTACAAGACTGGCAGGATTCTCATCCTGTACTCACCCTGGACGGTGAGCAGATTGAAGTAGTTGGGAAGTTCGTGTATCTAGGTAGCTATATAAATGCTGGTGGTGGCGTGAGTGATGAGATTGATGCATGTATAATGAAAGCCAGAGCGGCTTATACCAATCTGGGCAATCTTTGGCGCCTTCGTGATGTTAGTCTGGCTGTAAAAGGTCGGATCTACAACGCGTCGGTGAGAGCAGTTTTGCTCTATGCTTGTGAAACCTGGCCTCTCCGAGTTGAGGATGTTAGACGACTCTCTGTGTTCGATCATCGTTGTCTCCAAAGGATTGCTGACATCCAGTGGCAACACCATGTCAGTAATGCAGAGGTTTGGCAGCGTGTGTTCGGGCTCAGAGATGATAATTCAATTGGTGTCACCATCTTGAAACACCGACTTCGGTGGCTTGGACATGTTTTACGAATGTCGTCCCAGAGACTTCCACGTCGTGCATTATTTGCCGACGCTGGGACTGGTTGGAAAAAGCGGAGAGGAGGTCAGTGTATGACATGGTGTCGTGGCATGAAAGAAAGCTGCAAAGGGCTAGCTTCTGTTGGTCCTTCACGACTCCCTGACTGGGGTCCGAGAGATGGTGAAACACAGTGGCTAGAGACGTTATCAGATATGGCTCAGAATAGAAGCTAGTGGCGATTCTGCTGCAACCTTCTTTTACTTTCTACATAAAGAATGGTTCTAACTTTCTTAACTGAAAGAGTCTTCTGGTTGTACATTTCAGTGCGCCTTATCTTTTCATCCCTTCTCTTGCTACTTTCATTATTTTGTGTGGCGCATATGTATCTGGTGCCCTTTTGTACCAATATATATGTGTTTAAATAAATAAATAAATGACTGCATCAAAGCAATCCTCACAGGATACATATATATCAACCAAGACCGATCGAATTTCAGTCAAAACATCAACGACGGGATAATCCAGTCCACTTAAAATTGGATTAAATGTGTCTGATTGTGTACATAGTATACCTCAGGGTTAATGTAGACATTAACCTTGTAAAAAAATATTGCACGAATAGAATTGATTTCAAATGTTTTATCATAACAGCATAATCACAAGTAAACTGATTGTAACACAGCGTAAATCGTATAAAAAGAATAGACAAACAGAAATTCAAATTAATCAGTGGCAGCTTTTGTATATCAACTGTTTGAGCTTGGATTCAGACAGATCATATGTCGATGTAGACAGAAAACTCTATCATTTATTTCTTTTGAGAGTTAGCGAATAACGTGTTTAATTTCCAACTAAGCCCTGGCTAGCGAATACTTATGTACACGGAATAAAGCATTGGATAAAAATATCAATAGTTATGGAACATTACTTGCAATCGTTAAATTCAAGCTTAGACCTGGCTTCATCTACTACATTACTGCTAGTATCTCTGATCCTCACGTAAATTGTTTGATTCCAAGCTGAGTGTATAAACTCACAATTGATTAGCAAGTTACATTGTTTAAAGGTTTAGACTAAAAATTTGTTTAAATACTGATATGTCATCTAACTTAACTAAAGAGATTATGATATCCAATCCTAAAACTTAAATTTTATGTGGACATCTTCTATTTCTAAGTATTGACGTTTTAGTCTATTTGTGCTTATCATTTCTGCTTTTAATGGAGTCAAATTAATTGTCAGCAATTCATGTTTGTGAAATTATAAAACTGCTTTGATAAGTTTGTGTATTATTTTACTGTGTGGTTTTAAAATTTCTACAATTATTATTAATTAACATTTAGATTTTATTTAGGAGAAGTGAACACCTAAATATCACATTGTTTTGTTAAGGTAATTAGGGATGTTATAGATCAGTTATCTGGGTTCATCCGAATTTTTTGCATACAAGTACTGACTCAGGATTTGTAAGTACTACATAGATTAATGGATATGACTTCCGATTATATCTTGTATGTGGTGCACTGTATTCACTAGTGTTATCCTCAACAACTGAACACTAAACTATACGTTGTGGTTACAAACTTTTGTTCTTTTTTGTAGCTTTCCTGTGCATTTCGGTTTAAAATTGAATTACTGATCCTAAGAGTAAAGCTTTCTTGGCAGATGAGTGTTGAAATAGATCTAAGCGTAAAGACAATCGATAGTTTCAATTAACAGCAACTTCTTATCCAGTATGACGGAAGACATTTTTTGTGAGAACTGACATTTTAAGTTGGACATTAACACCTTCGGATGCTGGCTCAGTGGTATATATGTTAAATGTTCACTCGCGATTCCTAGTTACGGGGTCGTAGGTACTCACTTGCGGGGATTTTCATACTAGGACGAAACAGCCATCCAGTTTGTCCAGGTTTTCACAGATGGTCTAACTTGGATCGGTTCATTATTTGAATAAAATGATAATAAGTGTTTTACTCTTAATACTACCGAATATTTAATTACAGTCTCTTAAACTTTATTTTTATTTTTGTCCTAGACCAAAGACAATGATAATGCAGCTAATTGTCCCACAGATCACTCTTCACTTTCAGAGATAACTTCTGATATATCTGAATTCAGTTGTAAATTACCAGATCCACAACAAAAAAGATGTCGGCGTCGCCGTACTTATTTTTCCCCAAAAGCTTTATCAATATTAACTGAATTTTATTCTACAAATACTCGACCGAAAGGTATGTATACGTCATGTATATTTTTCTTTCTGGTGAGTTTGTTGAAACTGCATTCTCTGTGTTAGGTTGTTTGTAGTCGTGAAGTTTTTATTGTCTTTCAAGACAACGTCAGCACAAAATTCAGATAGTTTCAAACTATAGGCATTTCTTTATAAGCTACTTTGGCTTATTCTTTCAACCTTAACGTTGACGGGAAATTTTAAATCATAGAATTTTTCGCGTATCTTCATGCGTAAAAGAAAAGAGTAATCTAAAGTAATTCACATTGTTAACTTTGTGCACTTTCCTTCACACTAAGTTTTCTAATGGATGAGATTTGATTTTGACAAAATAGTTTATGGTTGCAGTATTATCTACTTTGTTCGTTATTTCATTTTCGGTCGTTTTTCTATTATTTCTATGTTGCTTTAGTGTGTAATTCAACTATATTTTGTAAATGAACTTTTAAAAAGTTAAACAAACCAAAGTTATATAATTCAACAAATTGTCATCGTGGACTTTATATTTAACTTCATTTTCCTTTCTAATACAGTGACATCTTACTAAAATCTTTTACTAAGATTATCTCAGTGTTGTAAGGTTCTGCAGCATACTATAGTCTGCAAGTCTTCTATGATAGCTGGGAACTTTCCTATGTCCTATTTTGACTTTTAAATAAGAATGCAGTCTTTCATAAGAATATTATTCACTGTGATTTTCATTTATTTGTTGTCATAACGCCAGTGTATTTCCACTTGTTTTACTCTATTATCCATTTTCAGGTACTGATTTCACTGAATTAGCATCACGGATTGGCTGTGATAGAGAATCAGTTCGAGTTTGGTTCTGTAATAGACGTCAATTAGACCATGAATGCTCACAAAAGGTTTAGAGTGACCGATTCAGTAGATTTGTAAAATTTTTATCAGTAGACCAATTACTTACTTTCTTGTTTAATCCAATTTATTGTATCGTCGAAAAATTTTGGAGAAAATCACTATTTGAGAATTAATGTTCTCAAAAATTTGTACATTTTTTATAAGTTGTTTCAACCAAATTTTTATGGTGTTAATCCTCCATTGAGACCTAAGCTCCATAATAAAATGTCTTGTTCTATATTATTAAAAAATGAAACGGTAACTTTATTGGGTCCAAGCATATTATGCAAGTTAGTAAAGTCTCCCAATACATACTTGGCCTATAGTGTTAGTAACTTTTAGTGAACACTATGAGAGCAGTGTATATCAGATTTAGCTTGGTGTTTATAGGCCATCCATAAGTGTAAGTTATTCTGCATACCGAGTTTTATAGACGGTGTTTTGAAGATAGCCCTACGAATTCTCTTTCTGTATGTACAGATCTTTCATACCCTATCATAGTGTCTCGTCAAGGCTTTTGATCTTGAGGGGTTATCGGATGTTATTCTCACGTTTTGTCTTCCTCGTTGTACACCTTGTTTTCTGAAATGCTTATATATTACCTGAATTGTTTAGTTATTACGACAGTGTCCACGAATGCATTGGTACGGCCGATAGTGAGGGGAGTCAGCTCTCCCTCTCAAAATGATTTCACACAGCTACGCGTATACAGCCACTCCTTTTTTTCAGCATCTTTGTGGTATACCACCGAAAACACGGAATATAAGACTTCGCCTTGCGCCGTGCTTATACCTCCGGAATTTATCTGGGGTCACCATTGAGAAGCACAGAATATCACGTTCAAGTTGATGTCTTCTACTAACTGTTCTGAACTGTAATTCGATTCATTATCGACATACAATTACTTGTCGCAGCATAAACCTTGCAAAGCATGCCAACACCCATATTGAAAATTAGGGTCTTACTAACAATAATATTTTAATGTATTAAAATTTATCCCCGTTTGTATCACCCATGTGCTCTGTAACATGTCAACCTAATTGAGTAACTTATCAAAGTAAAACTTCTAGCATTTGTAACAGTCTGATCTTGGCTGTAGGCTGGCATGCCTCGTCTAATATATTGTTATTTGAGGATACATATTATTCTACGAAGATGATTGCTCAATCGCACGTCCGGAAAGAGAACCTCATAACGGGCATCTGCTCCTCGTTTTCGAATGACTCCAAGGTCATGGCATTATTGTAAACATTCAGGAATAGCATAATAGGTCCAACTCTTTAGATGTGTCTTGGGATAAGATCAAAGGCAGTAGTATAGTCCAGAAAAGCTCATCGAACTAACTTCTTACCCTTTTTTAAGCCGAACACTATATTTTAATGCAGAGGAGCTACGTCATCTAAGGTGATTCTTTTACATTTGTAAGCAAACTCATACGAATCACTGTGCACTTTTATGGCAAGTTGAAGTGGGAGCATCAATAATTTTTCCACTGTTTTGAGGAAATGTGAAGTCAGTGCTATGAGTCTTAACTTTAAATTTTTGTCACTAGGTACTTTCCTAGGTATAGAAACTATCTTTATCGTTCTCAGCATTTTCGGTACGAGATTAGTAGAGAATGACCTATTAAAGTTATTCGTTAAATGGACGGCATCTTAAAGTAAGACAGTCGATAGAGTCTTTGAAACAAGCAGAAGTAGGTCGACATTAGTTAACGTTTACAACCGTGGCTACAGCATGGCCACATCTCTTTTTATTGATTGATCGATCCTGAGATAGATACTGGAATCACGTAGTGATATTACGCATTTGTCCTGTAAATCAGTTACCAAGATTCTTGAGTTGTGCGGACACCATAATTACGATACATGTTCTGACTTGCTCTTCTTCTTTCAAAGAGTTTATACTTGGTCGCCACGCATTAGAAAGAAAAAACGAATCATAATGAGATGCTTCTTCATGTTACTATAAAATATTTAAAAACTAGTATTTTTCGACTTCAGTCTGTCCACTCTATGTGTTAGCTGCATACATCTTATCTACTTTTATTTGTAGTCTAATTGACAGTTTAACCGTTTGCTAGGTGGTCACAAGCTGAGTGTTTCTATATGCAATGTGACCTATGCCCAGTTAAATATAGTAGACTAGTAATATCCCTTTACTCTGTATCTATCTTTTGCCGTCCGTCTGCATGAAATAGGCTCTTCATGAATATGCTCAAATTCAACTTATTTATTTCGTTGTCACTATCGAGAATTACTCAGAGTAGATATCTGGAACTAAGAGTGAGTTCCACCTAGTCACTTTCATCAACTAAACAATGAAGTCAACCGAGAACAATAGCAACGCTGATGCGTAGAACACGTATGAGCATCAAAAGACGTATCAACAATTTATAGACTGTAGAACTTAGTATCAAACAAACTGTTTTATTACCCTAAGTTAATCCCTTTGAATATCGCTTGACATTTGTTCCTGACTTTGTAGTACTGAAGCGACTACAGAAGCTGTTTCACCCCATTCCCTTCGCTTAATAATTGATACTAATTCTTTCAGGTTCCCGCAAGATAAAAACAAATCTCAACTATCCTTTTAAACGTAATCGTAGAACCAAAGATTATAAAAATTCACTGAACGGATACAGTTAGCTAATGTAATCCTATATCACAAATTAATTATTATTATGTTATTCCCTTACTTGATGTACCATAATATGTAGACTAATATTTAAAAACAATGAGCTTAAATTTTACTTCAGATCATTTTTATACTTATCAATCTTTTAGTGGTACTGAAATCTTTTAGAGTTTATTCAACAATGAAAGTTGTTATAATACATAACGCTATGCCTATGAAATAAACAACAACTTTTTAAATGACGAATAATGTCAAAAACTGACAATCGATTAATGACATTTTTGAAACCTTCTGATAAGAATTTGGACATTGCGAAATTTTCGGAAAATATTACTAACCAGAATGTGTTGTAATTTTAAATATATTTGAAGCTATAAATAATATTTAGAGATTTCGGCAATGTAAACGCCATGGTAGTGAAGATATCGAATGACAATAAATACTGGATTATTGGCCTTTCAAATGGCACAATTGTTGTATGGATACTTTTGGTTGATCTTAAGTTGGTTAACGCCTTTTAGCTATTATCCACCGAAGAGAGTGAAAAGCAGACAAATAATTTTTATACTTTGAACGCAGATGGTGAAACTCTTCCTTGTTCGGATTTACAGCCCATCCCAGAACTCAATGGCCGAATTCAAGATAACTGTCACCTAATTTTAGCAGTGTGTATGTCCCGAAAATTTTCTTTATAAATTAATTTGTTGTATTAGTGTTCATGTAAATCTTTTCGTATAATTTCTCAAATCTAGTTTACATTTGAAAGAAATTTCATGGTGAAACTATATTTACGTTTGTAGCGAAAACTTAAAATTGTTAATGAATGGATTATAATTATTATTAAATGTACCCTGAATATTATATCTTAGGTACAAAGCAGATATTTCGAAATTATTCTTATAACTATTGGGTTAATAATCAGTTTATTCGTGGACTGAGTTAATAATTGATTCTGTTTACCAGCCCATTCTAAACAATCTAATTAGCGAGTAGGTCTATCCGAAATCTCTAACGCTCAGCAGCCTGACCTCTCATAGTACTTATTCAAATGTTTTATTTTAGTGGTTGGTTTGAACGCTTATTAAACGGCATCATTTTGCCACCAGTTAAGTTTCTATGATCTGCAGTCACTTGATAATACCTAATTTACATTCAGATAACTTCTCATATTCCCCTTTGTTGTATCAATAACGACACCTCGGCAAATCAGCTGTTTAAGTCCACCTCATACAAACTTCCAGATTTTTAATCACTATGCTATTGTAAATATAAGTCGGACAATCAGCGATACAGTATACTGAAATTTGAGTCAGTTATAGTAAAAATAATCTCCCTGCGGACTCTGCTGCTGTTTTAGCCAACGCATTACAAAGATGATGCGTAGTCTATGCAAGATGAGTTATTTTTAGGATGAGAATTTATCCTGATTATTCTGTTTCTTCTCATCTACTAACTCAAAAAGATGTCTCTGGTCATGCACGTTTATGGCATTACACAGGAGCAATGAAATCATCACGTCTCTTGGCAACAATTACAGAAGAAAGAATCAGTAATCCATCTGATGCTCCTCTAAGAACAAATGCAGAAAATATGATGAATCAGATATTATCGTGTTCATGTTCATATGATGGTAAACGATTTGTAACTGGTGGGGTTGATTGTCACTTGAGAGTTTATGACATGAAATCTCGAAAACGCTTGCGGATTTGTAGTTCAAGGTAAACAAACGTTTATTGCATTTTAATAATTTAAGGGTTAATGCTCTTGATATTGTAACATTTTGCTGCTAGAGTCAAGCTATTCAAAATAAGGTGCACTAATGTAATCGTTAAGTTTGATATCATATGAATGACAGTTGCATTATAGAGTGAATTGTGTGGATTCGAAGACATGTATATGTGAGTGATGGATGACCAATCTAACAGCACCATCCTCGATACATGAAGTGAATGTCGTGAGCTCGACTTATGGTAAAATCGTGAATGTCTGCTTTGGTATGATATTGGTTTTGACACCGTGGTTAAGATTAGTTTCAAATGTCTTTTCTACGCTTTTCTTATAAGACCCTGTTAAAATATTTGATAACCCAAAACGTCCTCCATCGATAAAATCCAGTGGGTTTTTGTAGAAATATTGAGCTAAATACATGGAAGTAGAAAATCGAGAACTGATTATAGGAACCTTATTATATGCCAGTATTTACCAATAAAAGTATTCATGTTGATAAAATCATCCATACGAACCACAAATATGCCTTTTCAGATAAGCAAACCTTCTGTTATTACATTCAAAATGCATATTATTTTATCACCTACTCATAATAATCATAAAATGTGATTTGTCTGATTTTTAGCTTATTTTGAAGAAAGATTATATGATGTACTCAGTGAGTCAGTCAGCTACAACGTAGGACCAGGCACGTTTATACATCGCTCCAAGTTGCCATACCTCGTTAGCATAACGAGATGAACACCAAATTCATAGAAATAGTTAATTTACTTGTGGTAGTATATAAAAGAAAGATTGTATATAAGGTTATAGTATAGAAAGGAAGAAAGTTATGAAACAATTTTAACTTCACGATTTAAGGGATGTCAAAGAGTGCATA